TTAGGGTTTAGGGTTTAGTTCGGGGCTTTAGGCTTCAACAAGAGGTTCCTCTTCTCTGGGGTTGGGGTTTCAGAGTTGCAGGGGTTTTAGGGGTTTAGGGGTTTAGGGGTTTCAGGGTTTGGGGGTTTGGGGGCTTCGGGTTTACGGTTTTAGGGGTTTAGGGGTTCAGGGGTTCAGGGTTTAGGGTGCAGGGTTAAGGTTTTGGGGGGCTACGCTAGAGATTCGGGTCGGGGTCTTGGTGCTGTTCAAATTTCAAGTTGATTCCTCCAGAAAAGGAGAGCATCGTTTCAGTTGGGCAGGGAGGTTTCGGGCGACAGGTCGTTTTTAAAGGTGTGGCTCAACTGTGACCCTGCCCTCTTCCTGTTCCGCCAGCTCCCTCCGCTTTCTTGCTTCTTACTTATTCTGCTTGCTGCTTTGCTCTACCCTTCTGCTTTCTATCATCGGGTTTTCGATGGTGTATACAACTATTTGTCGTTGCTTTTGTTGCCTTCCTGCATCTTCCTGCGTTTCTAGCTTCCTGCTTGTTGCCCCCTGCATCTTTGCATTTTCGCTTTCTGTGTTTTGCCTGTGTCCTGTCAGACCCTTAAACCCTAAACCCTAAACCCTAAATCCTAAACCTTAAACCCTAAACACGAAACCCTTTGCCTGTTTCGTTTTGCTTCTGTACCGTAACCCCGAAAGCTTTAGCCCTAAAGCCGACACCCTACGCCCGGAAGCCGAAACCCAAAGGCTCATAGAACCCTTCCGGAACCTTTGTAGAACCCTAAGGGTCCATGTGCTCAAATAGTATATTCTTCGGCCTTAAAGTAGTCCGTATATAATACAGGTACTTTGGGGCCAAAGTATACATATATATATATATATGTGTATATAGAGTATTTGGGTACATGGACCCTTGGGGGGAACCCTCGGTAGAGCCGCTACAGAACCCTATAGAGCCTTGTAGAAACTTGTCGAAGCCTTCTAGAAGAACACTTTCGAGACCCGAAGATCTAAAACCTCCCTCAAGCCAAACAAAGGTTTAGGGTTAAGGACCCCAAACCCTAAACCCTAAACCCCTAAACCCTAGACCCTAAACCCCTAGACCCTGGACCCTAAACCCTAAACTCCCTAAACCCTGAACCCTAAACCCTAGACCCTAAACCCTGAACCCCGAACCCTGAACCCTAAACCCTGAACCCTAAACACCGAACCCCAAAGCCCCAAACCCTAAACCCTAGACCCTAATCCCTGAACCCTAAACCCTAAACCCTAAACCCTAAACCCTAAACCCCGAACCCTAAAGCTTCAGGGCTTAGGGCTCCTCGAGACCCTCAGTGCCGCACGCGCCAGGTTTCTACGCTGGGCGCGCTGCGCCATCTGAGCCAGGTGCCTTTGCCTTCCGTTCAAGTAGGGTTTAGGGTTCAGGGTTTGGGGTTTAGGGTTTAGGGTTTGGGGTTTAGGGTTGGATTTGAGCCGTTTAAGGGGTTTGGGGGTTTGAGGGTTTTAGGTGCTTTAGTGTTTCAGGCTGCGCCCAGCCCGAAAGTCCAAAACTCAAAGCTTGAGGTCCCTAAACCCTAAACCCTAAACCCTAAACCCTGAACCCTAACCCAAGAAGAGCTGCCACAGAGCTTGTTGGGTTGATGGCCTAACCCCTAAAGCCCTAAAGCCCGAAACCCTAAACCCTAAACCCCTTGAGCCCCCAAACCCTTAAGGCCCTGAACCCTTAAGGCCCTAAACCTTCAACCCTAAACCCCTAAACCCTCAAACCCCCAAACCCCTAAACCCCAAACCCTGAACCCTGAACCCTAAACCCTAAACCCTGAACCCCTGAAACCCCTTAAACCCCCAAACCCCTGAACCATCCTCAAACCCCCCGAAACGCCTG